CAATGCAAGGATTCCTTACAACCCAAATCATAACCCCAAATGAAAAGTTTTTCTTTATGAGAAACTGAGTCAAAACACCAGTTGAAGCTATTAGAACCTATCAGTTGATTTTAGATACTGGACATCATTTAAAAATTTTCAAACACTTTATGTCCCTTCTGTTTCTCGTAAATTAATTTCGTTGTCTAAACTTGATTCTATTGGATACACTTTTAAATTTGGAAATGATTATTTCAGTTTGTTTAAACATAATAATCTGATGGGTTCTGGTATTCTTTGTGATGACCTATATAAGCTTAAACTTGATAACATTGTCTCTGAGACTTTGATGACTTTGCATCATAATATTGGTACTAAAGGTTGTTTTATGAATGAAAGTTCAGCTTATTTGTGACAAAACATTTGGGTCATATGTCCAAAGAAAGAATTGAAAGATTAGTAAAGAATGAAACCCTTAATGAATTAGATTTTACTGATCTTGACATCTATGTGAATTGAATTAAAGGAAAACACACAAGCCACACACTTAAGAAAGCTGTCACAAGAAGCACACAGCTCCTTGAAATTATATACACTGATATTTGTGGACCTTTTGATGTTCCATCTTTTGGTGGAGAGAGATATTTTATCATATTTATTGATGATTTTTCACGTTATGGGTATGCCTACTTATTGCATCAAAAATCTCAAGCTATAGATGCCTTAAATGTGTATATAACTGAGATTGAGAGACAATTAGATAAAAAAATAAAAATTGTTAGGTCTGATAGAGGCAGTGAATATTATAAATATTATGGAACTTACAATGAATCTGGAAAATGTCCAGGTTCATTTGCTAAATTTCTTCAAACTAATTACATATGTGCTCAATATATTATGCATAGAACACCACAAAATATGGTGTTGCAAAAAGGCGATATTGTACTCTAATGGAAATAATTAGAAGTATGATGAGTAATTCCTCTTTACCCCTATCATTATGGATGCATGCTTTAAATACTGTTGCATGTTTGTTAAATATGATTCCTAGTAAGACAGTTCCAAAGACTCCTTTTGAACTAAGGACAGGAAATTGCCCAACGAAAATAAGGTTATATAATCCACAAGAAAATAAACTGGACTCAAGAACAACCAGTGGTTTCTTCATTAGTTATCCAGAAAAATCTAAAGGGTATAGATTTTATTGTCCTAACCACAGTACAATAATTATTTAAGCTAAAAATGTCAGGTTCATTGAAAATGGTGAAGTTAGTGGGAGTTTGGAACCGCATAAAGTAAAGATTCAAGAAATTAGGGTTGAAGTTCCTTTACCCACAATTTTTTCTCAAGTTATTATTCCTACAGTTGTTGAACAGTTTGACAACTTACAAGAACAACGAATATATGATCAAATATCTCACAATGAAACTGTCACTAATGAACCTACATTAGATGAACCACATGAAGCAGTATAAGAAAGTCTCAATGACAAAAATGATCTACTATTTTCGATGATTATGTGGTTTATCTATACGAATATGAATCTGACTTAGAAGTCAATGAAAATCCAACTTCATTTTCATAAGTCATAAAAAGTGCAAGTTCTTCTAAATGGTTAGATGCAATGAAAGATGAGTTGAAATCGATGGATCACAACAAAGTCTGAGATATATTTGAATTGTCTGCAGATTATAAAAGAGTCAGGTGTAAATGGGTCTTTAAGATTTAGCTTGACTTGAATGACAATATTGAACGATATAAAGCCAGACTTGTTGCTAAAGGTTTCACTCAGAAAAGATGACATCGACTATAAAGAAACATTTTCTCCGGTTTCTAAGAAAGATTCGTTTAGAATTATCATGGCACTAGTAGCTCATTATGATTTGGAGTTACACCAAATGGATGTGAAAATTGTCTTTCTGAATGAGAATTTAGATAAATAGGTCTACATGAGTCTACCTGAAAGATTTTTTGTTGAAGGAAATGAACACATGGTGTGTAACTTAAGAAATCAATACTTAATCAAGCTTCCCGACAATGGTATCTTAAGTTCAATGATACCATCACTTCATTTGGATTTAAAGAAAATACTATTGATCAGTGTGGTAAGAACTTTGAAATGAAAGATATGAGTGAGACATCTTATGTGATTGTAATTGAAATATTTCGTGATAGATCACAAAGATTGTCAGGGTTGTCTTAGAAAACATATATCGAAAGAGTTCTTAAGAGATTTAATATGGAAGAGTGCTCAACAAGTATTGCTCAAATTTTAAAAGGAGATAAATTCAGCCTTATGTAATGTCCAAATAATGATTTGGAAGGTAAACAAATGGAAGAAATTTCTTATGCATCTATTGTTGGAAGCTTAATGTATGCTCAGACTTGTACCGGACTAGACATTAGCTTTGTTGTCGGGATGTTGGGCATGTATCAAAGTAATACAGGAATAGATTATTAGAAAGCTGCAAAGAAAGTTTTGGTGTATCTACACGGAACAAAGGACCACATGCCCACTTATAGAAGATCTAATAATCTTGAAGTGATAGGATATTCAGATTCAAAATTTGTTGGATGTGTTGATACCAGAAAATCAACATTTGGCTATTTTTTCATTTGGCTATTTTTTCATTTGGCTAAAGAAGTAATCTCAACTGCTTCCACTATGGAAGCTGAATTTGTGGCTTGCTTTGAAGCTACAATTCAGGGTTTATGACTGCAGAATTTTATTTCAGGACTTGGAATTTTCAACAGTATTGCCAAGACACTGAAAATTTATTATGATAACTCCGCAACAGTCTTCTTTTCTAAAAACGAAAAGTATTCCAAAGGTGCTAAACACATGAAATTAAAATACCTTGCAGTTAAGTAAGAAGTTCAAAAACATAGGGTGTCAATTGAGCATATTAACACCAATCTCATGATTGCAGATCCTTTGACGAAAGAGTTGTCACCGAAGACATTTAACGAACATGTCGTGAGAATGAGCATTACCAAAACCCTTTATTAGTTTTATGCTATTTGTATTTTGACACTTTGGACTCAATTTTATTGTTTCTGATATTTATAAATCTTTATATTTATTGTTCTTTTGGCTGAAGGAACAATCTCATGAGAAAATGCGAAGCAGACTACCACAACTGCTTCCACTATGGAAGCTGAATTTGTGGCTTGCTTTGAAGCTACAATTCAGGGTTTATAACTGCGGAATTTTATTTCAGGACTTGGAATTTTCAACAGTATTGCCAAGACACTGAAAATTTATTGTGATAACTCCGCAACAATCTTCTTTTCCAAAAACGACAAGTATTCCAAATGTGCTAAACACATGAAATTAAAATACATTGCAGTTAAGTAAAAAGTTCAGAAACATAGAGTGTCAATTGAGCATATTAGCACCAATCTCATGATTGTAGATCCTTTGACGAAAGAGTTGCCACCGAAGACATTTAACGAACATGTCGTGAGAATGAGCATTACCAAAACCCTTTATTAGTTTTATGTTATTCGTATTTTGACACTTTGGACTCAATTTTATTGTTTCTGATATTTATAAATCTTATTTTTATTGCTAGTGTATTTTTTATGTTACATGATGTTCAACAAGATTTGTCTTTTAATAGATATTATGAGACAATGATGTTTTAATTCTCATTATACTAAGTATACTAAGTATGTAATTGATATTATGATACATGAAAGAGACTGTGTTGATAAATTGATGCACAACTGACATAATTCATATTAATTTCATATTTTTAAATAATTTATGATTTAACCAATACAAAGAAATATGTATCCACTTCTTAAACACTTCAAATACATCATATTTATGTTATAAGAAGTAAAATAGGTGAGCCAAGTGGGAGAATGTTAAATTTTTATTTATGGCTCATATTTTATTTTAATAACTTATGAGATTTATTTTGATAACTTAAGTTATTTATTTTCTTAACTCATAATTTATGTCATAACTTATGACAATTTATGATATTTATTTTTGTAACTCATGATTACTTAAGTTATCAATTATCTTAACTCATAACTTATGTCATAACTTATGAAATTAATTTTATAACTCATGTAATCCCTAAAATGAATGAGGATTACTAATTTATGTCATTAATTTTAATAATAAAAAATCAATTAATTTATTAAATTATCATAAATCCTATTGGTTTGTAACCCCCTTGATGTATAGTGATTAAATAGAGTATGATTTAGATAATGAGTTTTCTCTCTTCCTAACACTCCCCGTAACACTCCCCGTACATTTATCTCCATCAGAAAATACAGAAAGTTTCAAGGGAATACAGTGAGAAACTCTCTTCAAGATCCAATCTCTTCAAGATAAAATATTATCATCATGAATACATGTATGTGTTACTTTATTGTGGATATGTAAAAATCATGAATTTAAAATATCTTGACTATTATGTATTTTTTGAAATTGTGTCATAAAGTTCAAACATAAATTTCTAACATAACCCTGATATGTATCTGAATCACATCCAAGAAATAAAACAAGAGAAAGAGAAAGAAATGTCTAGAAAAAGATACATTTTTATAAGCCGCATCAACAACTCTATTACATTTAATGTGCCTAATCAATCAACTTCGTGTTGCATAATTAATGAATATCGACAGATGGTCCTATTGTCAGTTGGCCTCTACCTAAACGGTCTCTTAGCCAATCAACATTTAGTTCGACCGACTTCTGGTTAGCCACTCAAACAGTCTCTGGTCGATTGGCGGTTTATCATCGCTCATTCTTTCTTCATGTATTTTTCTTTATTCTCATAAAACCCTGCATGATTTGTACTCTACTTGAAGCTTTATAAGAAAAATTTAATAAGATGTTCCAAAAAAAGTATAAGATATTATAATGACAAAAATATTTAAATTCTCAAATAGACATATAAAAATATTAATATTAATCAAATTTACGGCACAACATTTTAATAAAACACTTAAAATTTAAAAATTACCTCAACTTTTTCAGCCTTTTGTCAAATTCTAAAGCTGCCCCTAAACCTCATTCGCGGCCCGACCCGCCCGCCTCCGCGGCTAATCTTCATCTTCCTGCCCGGTGCTCCATCATCGGCAACGCTGTACACCAGCCGCTCTCCGTCGCCGTTTACGCTGTCGAAAAGAAGGTATTTTCCTTTATCATTTCTCTCCATTTCCTTCGTCGGCTGCGGTGCCGTGATCCTTCTACAGCGAGTTAGCTAATGATACATGGGATGGGAACGTTACCGATTGGCTTCAAGGTTGAGTAGGCGTGCCCACTTTCACCCTCCTTTGTGAAATTTATGCGATTCTTGCGATCATGGAAATATCGATGCTAATCCAAAAGTAGGACGTCCTTGCTATTTTTCTTGTTCTGTTTGCTAAGAACCAGAGGAGGTTATGGATTCAAGAAATTTGAGGCTGCTTGCATCTACAAGAAATGGGACGGAGGAAGAAGACGATTAACGGTGGAATGAATTTGCTATATTTTATGCATAACGTTTTCTACATTATTTTACCACTTCATACCTTGATTAAATAGAAAAGCGATGAGTGTGCTGCTGTATAACAACCTAGAAAGACACTCACCTCATCCCTTCCCAACATGGAAATCTCCTTGCGCTTTTGGGATATTCTTGTTGTGCCCGCTGCTTGCCTATACCTTGTGCGCCCGTGGGATCATCCGGGATCCTTCAATTTCATCTTCTCTTCAAAACTGGCCTAGTTCCCAAGGTCTAGATTGGTATATTGGAGTTTGTCTGCAGAGGCAAACCAAGTGACTTCCTCCTGAGGCCATTCCATGAGATTCTAAACTCTAGTTCTTCCATCTTTGAAGATTTATATGCTATCAAGGATGGCGGTGGGTTGAAGTACATGATGGCTCTCTCAGTGTAGTGGCGACAATTGTGCTGTAGTGGTGGAATGCTGTATGGTTCTAGTTTAACAGCCATTTCAGTCACCTTGAATTCAACGTCATTCATTGCTGTTTTTGCTGTAGGTGATGCTAATTATGAATTGCTGGTGGTGCACTTCCACGGAGAGCTTGGATTGAGTTTTTTTTTTCTTTTTAATCACTATGTGGAGGGTCATATTGAATGAGGGCTCGGTCCAGGGCAAATACTTGGCATGTCGTCCATCATGCAGCATACTAGCATTGCTTGATTTTACTATTTTTCATTTTTGTTTTCTTGTGAGTTTATGGGTGTTTGAGCGGCACTAGCACTTAATTTGGCATTGAGGGATTTGAATAATTTCTTCTAAATTTTGCTCATGAAGGCGTGATCATGACCTAGGGGGATTGTTTTTGGGATCTTGCGGTGTTTATATATGTCAACGGTGGATACGGTGGTGACTTTTTCTTCATGTTGGTAGTTTTGAGCTAATAGATCATATAAGCTTGTTCAATTCCCCTGAGTTTGGTGAATGATTATTTGTTGGAAATCAAGTGGAATAGAAGTTTTGTTGTGCATGAAGAGGGTATTACTTATTTGATGGGCATATTGATGGATAGAGAACTTGGGCTAAAGAAAAAGAAAGCATTACTACTGCACTGGAGTTGCAAAATATTGTTTTCCCAAATTTTAATGTGATTTACCATCTTGACCATTGTTTCCCTTTCTTTTGTGTGGTTTTAGATACAAGGAAGTAATATCAATTTTATGAGAACCAAGAAGTAAGACAAGGAAGATGGTGGTCAGGATAAGACTATCGAGATTTGGGTGTAGGAACAAGCCTTTCTATCGAGTGATGGCTGCAGACAGTAGATGTCCTAGAGATGGGAGGCATCTTGAAGTTCTAGGGTATTATAATCCACTCCCCGGTACTGTTATGTTTACTTTGGCACTGTCTCTAATTTAATTTTTTAATTATTTATTTTTATTGGTTGTATTTTTTTCATCATATTATTTGTTCCTTTTTTGGCTTGAACTGACATTTTGCGTGTTTTGGAAGCTTACCATGTTGGATGATTTTTTGTTATATATTTCAGGGCAAGATGGTGGTAAGCGAATGGGTTTAAACTTTGAGAGAATCAAGTAAGCTGTTTTTATTGGTTTTATTTTGCTTTTGCTTGCATTATATATCTCATTTTTTTAACAAGTTTTTTCTTCTTGTTTTCTCCCTTTCTTTACTTTGCCATCTAGAATGTGTACTATCCGATAAACTATTTCATAACTTTGGAAGATATGTGCATTGAAACGTGTATCAACCACACTTGTTATTGATGAAAGATGCACTGTGGCACAACCATCCTTTGGAACTATATTTTATAGGGCAATATATGCTATTTTAAATAGTACTTAAATTTTAATATCACGAGTAATTTATTACTTATAATTCAGCAATATATTTTGAGAGAAAAGTTATCCTAAAAAAGCACATTGTCACATAATTCTATCAAATTATGTAAAAGCCTCCACCATCTCCAGGAAGCTATTGTGCATTGACATGGTAAATCTTGAAACTATAATTGGATTAAAAACACACTAGATATTTCTTATCGAGAATTTTTAGCAATGTGAATGAGGGTTTATTGGCTATCTAAATTTACACATGCATTAGTTCTAGGAATAATTGGGATTTTTACAAATAATATTTGACTGCTAGTTTTGTTGCCTATTAAGCTACGAGGTGGAATATCTCAATGACTCTAAACAATCGAATCGCGGTAGAAAGATATTTATTTCTTTTTTATTTTATAGAGTTGTTTTTGATGTATTCTCTGCAAAGTTTTTTCCATTTCAAAACTACATGTTGCATGCTTTAATATCTACAGTGGAATTATGCTTAGAATATCTTACTGCTAGAAGGGCACTTGTATTCACAACCATGTTCAGGTTTGAAGTCCCATGTTAGTTTCTTAAATTTGATTTACTATATTTCTTCAAGGCCAAACTACTCGATCATTCTATCGACCTTGAAAAACATAAGAGTACTAAAGCTTCTTTAAACTTATAATTGGTTCTAAGCAAATTAATTAGTCCATGATCTCATCAAGTCAGCTGGAACTAAAAAATTTCACCGAAGTTATTTTTCTAAATTTTTTTCAACACGTTTTTTGAATCATTTACTTTACAATTCCACTATTTTTGAGATCAAGTTTCTATTTTATTATCATTATGCTCTTTTAAAGTGTATACATATGCCAAAACATATGCAAACATACACAACTAATACATCAGTCGTTGCATATTCAGTTAGGCAAAATTGAAATGCATTTGTTGTAAGACAATAATCCTTTGTACAATGAAATACATAAATGTACGATAAAATTGATAGAGTTTAGGCTAAGTAATTAAAGTAATAACTTAATTTTAAAGGTTCTTATACCTATATTCATATTCATATCTATATATCAAAGGGATCCTAATAAAATATAAAATTTAATAAAAATATTTTAAATGAATTACGTAAATGTACAGTAAAATTAATAGAGCTTAGCCTAAGTAATTAAAATAATAAATTTAATTTAAAGGCTAATATGCTTGTATATTTGTATCATCTATATATCAAAATGGTACTAATAAAATATAAAATTTTATAAAATATTTGAAATCACTTTTAAGAGATTTGAAAATTGGGGAATATAATTTTAAGTAGATTTTGATATAAAATTTGCATCTTTTTTATTATTATATATACTTCTCTACTCAACTCATCCATTATCCACGTTTTTTGTTCACAGTTTGAATCCTTAAAATTTCTTTGGGTGAGCCTCGCAAAGGGATGCTTATTTGGTTGTCGCTCAAAAAGGTCCACCATACCTTTTAATTATAGGCATGATGAAAAAAATTTCTACATAAAGGAATTAGGCATTTCAAACATTGTAGCTAGACATAAACATTGGGATAACTAATCATTCTTTTCTTATTATTTTTATAAATTCGAATAACTATTTATTCTTGTCATCTTAGTTATATGATGGAGCCCTGACAAATTTCTCCAAATACATTAACTGCTGCATAGTTGACGTGGAATAGGAATGCTTGTTCTATGGGGCTATAATCCTTTTTGCAGTGAAATAAATAAAAGTACAATAGGCTCAATTGAGCTTACACTAATTAATTAAACTAGTAAATTAAGTTTATAAAGGATAATATACTTTTATATTTCATGAAAATCCTAATAAAATATAGTATATTATAAAAATATTTTTTATCATATTTAATGAGATATAAGAATTGGGTAATACACGTTTAAATAGATTTAGATATCATTTTTACATATTTTTTATTATTACGTGCATCTTTCTACCAAGCTCATCCATTATCCATCTTTCTTGTTCACAACCTAAATCTTTATAAGTTCTTTTGGTCGAGCTTTTGAAAAGGGATACCCATTTTGTTGTTGCTTGAAAGGCTCCACTAAACCTTTTGATCGTAAATATCATAAAAACATTCATCACAAAAGATCTATACCTTTTGATCGTAAGTATCATAAAAACATTCATGCAAAAGAACTAGGCATTTCAAATACCATGGCTAGACATATACTTCAGAATCACTTATTATTCTCATCATCTTATTTATATGGGGCATTGAATAATATTAATATTTGAAGAGTGATTAAAGTGTGCTCAATCTTAATAAAATGTCCTTAAGGACTAATATCGAGTCTATATCTTTTTTATATTGGTAATGGAGTTGCTTGAAAATTATATCTAAAATTAGGTGCCTTAGTATTTGTCTTTTGCTGATAATAGTTCTAATTGATGAGATATCTATTGAAATAAGTGAAAAATTATAATAGTGGAGAGAACTTTTAAAAGATAAACAACTTAAAATTAATAAGACAAAGATTGGGTGCATGATATATTATTTTAGTGGATTTTTTATTAACAATTATTAATTAATATTAGTCAAAGATAAAGTGTTATTTGGGTATGTTAGGTTTAAATATTTTGAATCCATTATTCAAATACATAGGTATATATAAGAGAATATAAATTCTAAATGTAAGACCAAGTGGCAGGAATGAGAATTTATGTGATAAGAGGACATCATGGAGATTTGAAGGTAACTTTTATAAATTCATAATTAAGTTGATGATGTTGCATTGATCTAGTTGTTTGGTTATAAAGGTTTTCTAAGTTGAGTGTGCATAGAGATGAAGTACTTAAAATGGAACTTTTGTTTTAGTAAATTTAATTTCTTTTTTACTAGGATTTTCAATATTTGTTTTTCTTTTTTAACAAATCATGTTTATAATCTTACCTAACTATGAGAACTTTAAAAATTTATCTCAATAGTCTTTGTTCAAGTGATTTGATTGATATTTTTAATGTTGGAAGCTAGTTGATTTTCTTCTTTAAGATGTGGCATGTGACCAATTCCTTGTGAACTCTATAGGGAAGTGGAGGATTTCAACTGGGTTTTTTATTATTGTTTTGCTTAGAGGTTGTGGTTGAATTGTTCAGATGTTCCTTTGGATGTTGCAATGTTATAGCTTTAGATTTAGGATCTACTATTAGGTGCTGGAGATTGGCGGTTGTGGCAAATGGATGAGTGGCTTGAGCGATTTGTTATATGAAGATTGTTAGAAGTTATATTATGAAATAATTTATTACTATTAGAAGTTATGAGGATTAGATTCATTTTCTAATTTATCTTTATTTCATTTTCTATTTTAGATTTATTTTCTCGTATCAGATTTATTTCCTTTCCTATTTTAGGCTTTCCTGTTTTACGTTGTTTTTTTATCTCTAAATAATTAATATAAATTGATTAGTTGGAAATATTAGGAGTTATATCTTTCCTTTTCTGTTTGTCTTTCCTATTATATGATTCATGTAAGGTTATACCCTTTTTTATATCAATAAAACTATTCCACGTTATTATGAATTTCAATAAAGATAATTTGTTACCTCTAGTATCTATTTATAGGATCATGTTACTAACTTTAATTTTAGGGATTTTCTTCATTGTAAATCTAAGAAAACGTCAAAAATATTGAAGAGGTTTTGGGGCATGCAATAGTTAAGTAAGCTTTTTTTTTTGAATTATTTATTTTATTTATTTATTTTTTGTGGTTGTGTAACTCCGAATCTACTCCTTGATCAAGTGAAAGATTGGAGGTTTTCAGGATTGGTTATCTACTTATAAAAACGGGAGGCTTGATTTGATGAATTTTATTCCTTATTTATTTTCTCGATCGCATTATTTATTTGCTTAAGTTGAATTATCTAATTTTCTTCAGTTGTATTTGTATTAGATGACTGTTGAATTTTCATCAATTTCGATTCTCGCTGTCATCTGAAGTAACAAATATTTGTTATAATTAACATTTCATGATTTTCAAAGTCTTCCATACTTTTGCTTGATTTCATGCATTATCATAACGGATTTACAGTAGAAACCTTGGACTCCAAGGCATCTACCTTTGATGTGGTATTTAAGCCTAAGCTTGAGTCAAAATACTAGCTAGAAGTGAGGCTCTATTTAAAGTTGATTAAGAGATCAACGAAGAATGAGATATTGAAAACGTTGCAATGTCAAATAACTGAATTATTAAATAAAATATATTAAGTGATTGAAAATGCGAGAAGAAAGAAATTAAACTTGAAACTACTCATTTTCATTTTCTGGAATAAAAATTAATGAACAAGTCGATCTGAATGCTTATACAGTTAGCTGGCTATAAGTTTATCGTTTTAGAAATTGTAGATTTCGTGCCATTCCTTAAAGAAATTCATTGAATTTCTGCTGTTGCCGTTTATGGAAGAGTTCTAAATGTTGAAATTTTCTGTTGCTTTCAATGAAATGCATTTATTGCCTCTCTTAAAATTATAGGATGTGGTAATGAGGTAGTAAATGGGTTAATTGGCTGTCAAGTGGACAACTAGTGTTGTACGTGCGATAGCCATATATGTATTCCGGTGGGCTGCTTGTTAGGGAAATTTTATGTGAAGAATAAGCTCAGCTTTCATAATATTATCCTTGGAAATCTAATAAGGCATGCTAATTGTTATTTGCTAAGAAAGAGGCTGTCCTACCATAATAAATAGCGCCTCAATGTGTTCAATTTAGACAAGCAGCTG